GTTTTAAATGGGCCATAAACTGTAACATCTAAAGGCTGTAACCTATAGCTGCAATGTGGTGGAAAAGTTAGAATTTTTACAAAATGTTGTCTAGCAAATTCTATCACACGAAGATTAACATGGGAGATATGATTATCTAATATTAATAAAGCAGGATTATTTTCACTTGGTTTTACATGGCTTACAAAATGTTCCATTGCTTTAACGAAATTTTTGTCAGTCATCCATCTTGAAACATGTGATAAACCCAATGCTCCAGAAGGCCCATTATTCAACATGTGATCCTTATAATTTACTCGAGGAAAAATAAACACAGGAGGTATAGTACCACCTCCAGCATTAACAAAAAAAAGAGTAGTTACAAGTGTACCTCGTTCTGCTGATGTAACCTGACCTACTTGTTTTGATCCCTTTGCAGCTATAATCTTTGGAGGAGCTGAAACAGTACTGCATCCTGTTTCATCCGTATTAAAAATCATGTGTGATGGAAATCTATACTTTTTGTAAATGCTGGTTAGCTTTTCAAAGAACGTGTTAACATTTGTTTTGTTGAAACTTGTTGCTCTGGACAAAGATGTGCTTTCAGGTTTCCTGACTGACAAATCTTTGTGCCTCATCATAAAGCCACGAAGCCATTCCACAGATGCTATTTTATCACCCTTCCATCTTTCAGGACAAATATTATTCACCTCTGCATACTGAAAAGCTAGTTCCCTTGTTTGTTTTTTTGTCAAACCGTGACACATTTTAGATGCAGTTTTAAGATACGAAACTAATAAATCCTCTTGATGTTTAGAAAAAATGCGCCTGTTACCTATATTTGGGCAATGCACATACTGATCCTCAGTATTGCCAACCTTTTTAATCACTTTTGCTAAATAGGCTCTCGATATTCCAAACACCAACGCTGTTTAATTGATGGACTGGTTGCCAGCATTCACTTCCCTTACAGCCATTTCTATTGCTGAAGTTGTGGGCCTTTGTCGCTTATTAGTAGTTGATGACATGTTTTTCTCTTAATGATAAAAAATATGAAATGAGAATAAGGAAATAACATAATAAATATACATAATAATATAATAAATACATAATAGTAAAATAAAATGATTCAAACAATACAAAAAAAGTTTAAAAAAATTATTTATACTTTAAAAAAAAAATATGACTTTTTCAGAACTTTGACTTGAAATTTTTATTAAATATTATTTTAAATTCTAACGAAGCTATGTTTTACTACTTCAGGAAAAGTCATTAAAACAACTTATTTAGATAGAATAAGCTCATTGAAGCGTTACAAAAAATATATGAAGTCGTTAAAGCGCGAAACAATTAATTAGTTTAAAAAAAAACTAAATAGAAAAAACTGGCTCATTCATAGCATAAAAAGTCGGCTCTTTCAACAAATTGTATGTTTATAAAAATAAACTCAAATTAAACATTTTTACCGAAACTTTAATCTAATATTTTTTGTGTAAATGAAGGGCAAATATATATATATATATATAACAACGAGGCATATATCTTTTATCAAATAATAAAATACACTTTATCTTAAAAACAAATAAGTAAACCCCCAAAAAATTACTTTTTGTGTTCAAAATATTTAGTGCAGCCTAACGGCGCTATTTATTTTAGTAGAACTATAAATTTTTTGTGGGTGACTTGTATCCAGTGTTGACACACAATGAGTAAAAAACAATTATGGTTGGGTGCCAGGAAGTTAGAAATAACGGCATCGGCTCTTTCAAAACCTGGCTCTTTCATACACACTCTCCCCTATATATGAATGTATATATATATATATATATATATATATATATATATATATATATATATATATATATATATATATATATATATATATATATATATATATATATATATATACCCTTTATTGTTTACAGTAGCCATATGGCTACTATCAAGTTATTTATTCTGTTGATATCGTATTATTATTTGTATATACCATTATTTGTTTTTCAAAGTATCAGCTTATTACAAAAATAAAAACTCTTCAAATTAGGGTTTCAAGCCGGTTTTTTTAAAAACAGAGTTGATGAATTGCTGAGGTTTTTTTACTTATTTTAGTACTATATTGCTAATTGTGAGTTAATAAAGTTTTATTGATGCTGCCGGTTGGTTATTATCTAATTTTGTGTTTTTAAAGGTTATAAAAATTGTGTTAGAAGTAGATTTTGAAAATTTATTGATAAAGTTGCTATTCTTCCCTTATAAACCTGTTGGTAGCCAACAATAAACCTGTTGGTAGCTAACAATAAACCTGTTGGTAGCCAACAATAAACCTGTTGGTAGCCAACAATAAACCTGTTGGAAGCCAATAATAAACCTGTTGGTTGCCAACAGGTTTATAAGGGAAGAATAGTAACTTTATCAATAATATGATAAAGTTACTATTTTTTATTAAATAAAATTATAATATGGCTACTCTGACCAGAACTGGAATAAATTTTGAATATATATATATATATATATATATATATATATATATATATATATATATATATATATATATATATATATATATATATATATATATATATATATATATATATATATATATATATATATGTATATATATATATGCATATATGTATATATGCATATATGTATATATGAATATATGTATATATGAATTTATATGTATATACAAATATATATACATATATGTATACATGTTTTATATATATACTTATACATGAATTTTTGTTGAGTATTTAACATATTTTATATTTTTTTAATAACTCAATTTAATTTGATCAATAAAATTCATAAAAATTCTTTTTCTTCGTTGTTTGAAGTATCCATATGGCTACCATCATTTATTAAAAAACTGGGAAAAATATTTCACATTTTCTCATTAACCTTTTATGGTTCACAAAAAATGTGAACCATAAAGGCTTAATGGGAAACTGTGAACGAAAGTATATACAAATATCTAAAAAGAAAATATCTTCAAATTATATTATGTTAAAACTTATTAAAGCATATATCAAGTTTTACAGTCTACCTTCACTTGAAAATTAGATTACAGCAAGATCTCCTTAATTTTTATCTTTAGCATTTATTTCAGTTCTAAAAAGTCTTTTGTTTGTTTAATACTTTTAATACTAAAGTTTTTCTGTGTGGTTAGTCGCAGCACGTCTTGTTTGTGGGGTTAGTCACAGCACGTCTGAGTGGTTAGCTCACTGAGTTTCTGAAACAAAACACTGTACTTCAAATCCTATTACTGTAATCCTACCTTTTTTTTTTTTAATACATTTTGATTTTTCTAAAATACAAAATAAAACACATTTGGAGTTTTATAGATATTATAAACATTTTTACAATATATGTAATGATATTATACACTATAACAAATAAATGGGAGAGACTTTTTAAAGAAGATTAAAATTTTTAAAAACATCAAAACACCAGGAGAAATTTGTTGTGTATTTGTCACGATATAGATACTTATGTTATTAATGGGCTTTGGTAATTATTTTTTTGCTCTAAATATATACAGCTAGATTAAAAAAATTAAAAAAGGCAGATTCAAATCCTTGCAAAATGCCACCAATGACAGCCCATTAAACCACTGATCTATTGAATTGTAATAAAAAAAAATCATTTTATAAACTCTTATGCTGATTACAACTAATCAACACTTTTCAAGCAGGTTCCCTAAATAGGCGCTGCTTTATTGCATAACATCTATTATAACCTAATATAACGATATTGCAATAATAACTTTATTGCATAGCATCTTATATAATATAATATAACAATAAACAAATATGTTATATGCAAATGTAAAAATTCCACTTATATAACGTTTTATAAAGAATCATGTGTAATTTAGGAAAACTTTTCTAATAATTACAAGTCTTTTTTGATTAAACTGTTTCATTTTGAATTTTTATATTTACATTATTGTATTTTAAATAAATGACAAGATTGAAAAAGTACGAAATATATTGTCTCATCCAAGGAAAATTTAAAACTTTGATTTTAGATTTGTCTTAGTTCCACCATTTGTATAGGGTTGCGTAAAAATATTTGTAAATGCAAACATCCTTAGCATATATTGAGTTTACATGTGATTTATGGAACAATTGTGTATAATATCTATAATAAAGTAAAAATCTAAAACATAAGAAAACCTTAAAATTTAATTTTAACAATTAGAAGTCTTTTTTGCTATATATATATATATATATATATATATATATATATATATATATATATATATATATATATATATATATATATATATATATATATATATATATATATATATATATATATATATATATATATATATTGCTATAAACATATAAGCTAGCTTAAAAAAATTTTAAAAATTTATTACGCTAAGAGAAGGTCTTGAACCCCCCAAAACGACACTGATGACAGCGCACTAAACCATTGAGCTATTGGCGATTTGCGTTTAGGGGAAAAACAAACCTTACTATGAATCTCTTATAAGCTCTATGTATGCGGAAAAAGTGGGCATGTTAATTGTTTTTGCTCTTAAAGCCATTATTTAAAATCAATTATTTTACTTAAAAATATTGAAGTAAGTAAGGAATAAGTATAAAGATGATTGGTGTGGAATAGATAAGTATAGAAATGGTCCGTTTGGTAAAGGCCTATATTTTACTGGTCCAGAAAGCTAGAATATATATAAGGAAAAAGAATAGAAAAAATTGATGTGGAATTGACTTAAAAATAACAAAGACCCATATTTATACAGGGCCAGTCAGCTAATATATATATAATATCATATATAATATCATAACAATATATAAATATAGTATTGTATGTAATAACATTATTATACACAATAACATATATAATAATGCCACAAATAATATATTAAACAAAATAACATTAAGTTACAAAAATGAAAAAAAAAATATGTAAAAACAAGTGTTTATAAAATAAAAGTTGTTAACTTTATTTTTTAACTTATTTATTTTAAAATAAAGTTGTTTCTTTAGATGGCTGAATCATGTGTTGGTTGTTTAACCTTATGTTTAATGGAAAACCTTTTGTATGTTGCAACAGTGAATAATTCAATTATTAGTTTGGCTATTGACATCCCTTTACCCAAAATAAATAACTTGTGTGAGGTATACGATAGCTTATAAAATATTGTTAAATTTTAAAAATTTAATTAATTTAAATGTTTTAATTTTATTTATTTAAAAATTTCAGTATTAGTAGTATTAGTATTAGTAATTGCTGTAACTGGTGTTATATCATAGTGTGTTAATACCACACTCACTGTTAACAGTTTTTGTGGTATTAACACACTATGACAGACGATTTGCTTGATTGCTGCTCATCCAGCAATCAAGACCTCAATCTCAATCAAGACCTGCTTTAAAACTGTTAACTGATTGTGCGTTAACCAACTCATTTGGCTATTCCATAAATTGGCTGTTCTATTAAATAAAAAGTTTTGCTTGGACATGCTTAGTGATTCTTTTGACATATTTAAAACAGTGACCTTTTGTTTGAGTTTGTTGAAAATTAATTTTTTTGATTGTTTCTAAATTGTTGAAATTGTTAAAGAATTTAAAGGTTGAATTATTAGGTTTTGGAAACAAATCGAGGTGTGTAAAAAAGTTAGGAATTTTTTTTGCAAAAATCCATCGACTTCATATCGTTTAATTGCTAAATGTACAATTGTCCCAAAACATTTAATTGCTAAATGTACAATTGTCCCTACAGTCATAGATATTATAAATAAGTTTTAAGACTACTCAAAGCTTCGAAAGAAAATGTAGAAGTGGAAAAAAGAAAACTTTCCATAAATCCAAAAAAGTAAAGTCGATTCTCAGTTCAATAGCAAGGATTCCGAACCAGTCACAGCAAGATCTAGCAAGAAAACTCTAGATTTCATGTTCTTATATCAAAAAAGTACTTAAAAATGCTGGAGTTAAAGCATTTCATAAAAAAATACGCATGAGAGAAGCTTAAATGGTGAAATTAGAGGAATTTGACGCGCAAAGAAGTTGGTTAAAATTATGGCAGATAAAAGTATGTGCATAATTGAAGACAAAAAACATATTGCAATGTGGATTTTTCACAACTTATTGGTCACTATTTTTACTGTGAAAAGAAAGATAAACTTGTTGATGGTCAATTTAAATATATTCTACAAAAAAAAATTTGCTTACAAGTTTTTTGTGTAGCAAGCAATTTGTAGCTGTTGTATGCAGTCCTCTTGCTTCATCACTAAAAAGACCTTGACTGCTGATCTCTAGATCAATGAATGCCTCCAAAAAAGACTTTTGCCATTTTTAAAAATACACATATATGATGTCTCTTTTAGCCAAGTCTTGCTGCTTCTTATTATTATAAAATTGTTCTACGATGGTGCAAAGATAATAATGTGAAAATTGTTCCTAAAGATGGGAATCCTCAAAATCGTCTTGAAGAACGTAGGATTAAAGATTTTTGGGCAATAATTAAAGGAGTTCTTTGTAAATCAGGTGGATTAACAAAAGTTAAAAAAGACTTCCAAAAAAAGTAGATTAATGTCACCAATAAGGTGAAAAAAGAAAGTGTCTGAAAAATGATGGCATCAACCCACTTTAAAATTTGATCTCTAGCCAAACAGCCCATCAAGCCCCTTTGAATTAAGTTGAAACCCTAATCGATGTAAACACATTTAATATTTGAAAAAGCATTGATGGTTTTAGAGAAATCTCAATTTAAAGTTGACCAGATTTTTTTGTGTCCACCCGATATGTTCTACATTACTTCTAAGTTTTTTAACTGATGCTAATATTGTGTTGCAAAGAATATCCTTAGCTAATTCAACAAGAATTGGACCTGGTTTATTAGTTTTAGACCTCATATATCTAAGAAACTTTAGTATCACATTCTCTTAGTTTATAAGCCTAAAAAAATTTATAAATTTACTTTTTATAGATTTTGTGTGATTTAACCATTTTTTATTAATTAACTTTTTATGCTGATTTCGAATTAATTTATACCTTTTTTCATTAAAAATGTTATCTTTCTTAATAAAATTAATTATTTTTCATTTTAACAAAACTTAATCAAGTTTTGTTAAAATGGTGATTGTCAATTGTTGTTAGCACTTTCCAAGTATAAACTTTAAATTATTAGCTTATTCTTCTGTAGACATAAGTTGGTGTTTTTTTGTATTTTTATTAACAAATTGATTTTAAATAGAGTGGATCTTTGCTCCAATGATCTACTGTATTCCGAAAATAAACATCCTATTTTCAATTATTTTTGGCATTTAAGAGATCTTTCTCTTTCAGTCTATTAATCTGATTCATAAGTAAATGGGCTGCTTTTTAATTTTAAACAAGCTAAGAATTTCTCTCGTACGCTTACTGTAGAACTTACTTTTTGCTAACCCATCTCTCTCAGTTGTTTCTGTCACTGGTTTTAACTTTATTTCATATTTTCAAATATTTTAACAACCTGAATCTTGATTTCATAATGGTTTGGATATTTAATTATATTACTAGAAGGATTTTTTATAATTGGCGATATTTCTGATGTTGATTGTAATCCTCACGCTTTAGCTCAATGTTATTTGCAATTGTTTCATCAACTGAAAAAACTTGATTAAAAATGTAATACATCAGTTTTTCCATCATCTTTTTCCAAACCCATATCTTCTTATTTTCTTTTATTAATTATTAAGAAATATAGAGCTAAATTTTGCAAAACTATATTTGCAATAATGATACAATCATCCAATTTATTCAATGCGTACATACGAGCTGCTTCTATGACTACTGAGCAGTCAATCTTATTTAATGAAAATTTCCGAATGATAATTTATTGTTGACTTCATTAACAACAACTACAAGTTTTAAAATGCCAACTTTTACCCTGACAGTTTTTAAAAAATAAAATTAAAAAAAATAAAATTAGTAAATGGAACTTTGTATGATAAAATTTGTCAACTACTGGGAGATTTTTAAGGAAGTTTATTAATTTTGATTTTCTTGTTTACTATTTTATAATTTATTTATTAGTTTGTTACTTCTTGTTGCAATATTATTCATTTTAATCTAAATTTATTATTATCTAAATTTAGTTAAGAGATGGTGTCTTGATTATTATCTAAATTTAATTTTAATTATTATAATCTAAATTTATCTAAATTATTATTATCAAATTATTATTATCTAAATTATTATCTAAATTTAATTTAGAGATGGTGTCTCAATAAAAATACTCATCTTGGGCAGATGTTAAATGCATCCGGCTGCTGTCTTGTAGAAGGCCTCCTAGGCAAAGACTTAAGGGGTAAACAGATTCTATCTGTTGACCAGCCTCGCACCCCTTCTCTATCTATTAGGCTGGCGCAGATGTATTTTTAATACATTGTTTCCAGTTTAGGATGTTGAACGCTGGATCTTCTTGACTCAATGCATGGGTTTTGCTTGTGTCTTTGTTTTTATGACTAGGAAACTCATTCTATTATCTCCAAATGAGGGTACAGCTCTAAAACTCAGTTTTATGGTTCTGAGGCCGGCTGGTAGTCAGGTTTCCCGAACTCTGTGGTAGCTCTCAGAGAGGCTGATTCCATCAACAGCTAAAAAATATCAGAGTACTAACAGTGCCATGTTGCGCATGGATGGTGTCCCTGTTTGTACTTTTAGTGTGCATTGCCAAGGCCACATTGGAGCCCTTTGTTACAGCTTAGGGTTTATTAGTGGAAATGAGGCAATTGCTTGAGCTACTAAACAGTGTACTGAGTACTATCTATGTTTCGAGTCAAGTTCTTTAACAAATTTAAAAATGAATAAAGTAACAAAAACTATTAAACACAAAAAACCACAGTCATCACTAAGTTCGCTAAACCTATCATTCACCAATATTCGTGGTCTTCGAAGTAACTTTTCTTCTGTTGAATTTTATCTCTTGCAAAGTTTACCAGACCTACTTGCTCTTTTTGAGACTAATTTGAGTTCAGCTGTCTCATCTTGTGATCTTAGTGTTGATGGCTATCTTCCTTTAATTCGTAAAGACTCCAATAGTCACATGCTTGGCCTCGGCATTTACATTCGTAAGAATTCACCCATTTGTCGGGAAACTAGGTTTGAATCCACAGACTACTCTTTTATGTGCTTTCGTTTAGCGCCACTTCACTCCATCACCTTTCTCTTTGTTCTATATTGCTCTCCTTCATCTCAAGACTGCACTCTTCTTGATATTATTTCTGATTATATTGACCAAGCCCTCATTCTTTATCCATCAGCCAATATTGTTGTTGTTGGTGACTTTAATGTTCATCACACTGAATGGCTTGGCTCTAGTTTCAGTGACTCTGCAGGCATTAAGGCCTGCAGCTTTTGTCTTTCTCAATCCCTAACTCAAATAGTCAACTTTCCAACTCGCTTTCCATACAACCCGACTCATTTACCTTCTCTACTTGACTTATGTCTTGTTTCTGATCCTAGTCAGTGCTCAGCTTCTTCACACTCACCCTTAGGTGCTTCTGATCATGGTTTGGTCTCTCTAAAACTATTATCTCATTCTTATTTACCATCAGAATCCCCCTATCACTGTACATCTTACAACTACCTTAAAGCTGACTGGGAATCTTTCCGTGATTTTCTTCGTGATGGTCCCTGGATAGAAATCTTTCGTCTCCCTGTTGACAAATGTGCTTCTTACATAACTTTGTGGATTCAGGCTGGCATGGAATCCTTCATTTCCTCTCGACGATTCCAGGTCAAGCCTCACTCTTCTCCATGGTTTTCCTCACATTGTGCTGCTGCAATTGCCAATCGAAACCACTGCTTCCATATCTATCAGCAAAGCAATTCTTCAGAAAACAGATGTCTGTTTATTACTGCTAGGAGTCATTGTGAAAAGGTTTTGTCTAATGCCAAAGCCCGCTATTCTCAGATCATGAAATCTCGTATTTCATCACAAAAATTAGGCTCTCGTGACTTCTGGAGAATCTTTAATAGTGTCAGTAATAAGGGCAAGTCTGTAATTCCACCTCTTTTGTATGGTTCAGACTTTGTCACCTCACCTAAAGACAAAGCTGAATTGTTTGCCAAGAACTTTTCATCAATATCATCTCTTGATGCCACCAGTTGTGTTCTACCTGATATAGCCGTCAAACAGGTTGATCCATTGCTTGACATTCGTATCACTCCAGCTTCTGTATCTAAAGTGATTTCCCTCTTAGACTCTTCTACAGCTTGCGGCCCGGACAACATACCTGTTATAGTCTTGCAGAAGTGTTCTCCGGAGCTGTCATCTATCCTTTCAAAACTGTTTAACAAGTGCTTATCAGAGTCTTGTTTTCCGGCCTGCTGGAAAGCAGCATCTGTTATACCTATCTGGGATAACAGATGCTTCAATAATCTTAAAGATGCTTCAATAATCTTCAATAATCTTTAATTCAATAATCTTAAAGATGTTTCCTATCTGGAAACATCTTTAAGATTATTGAATCTTTTCTTTCCAATCGTAGTATAAAAGTTGTCCTTGATGGACAGCACTCTTCTTCTTATTCTGTAACCTCAGGGGTTCCCCAAGGTTTAATCCTTGGCCCTATACTCTTTTTAATTTACATTAACGATCTTCCAGATATTCTCACATCTAAGGTGGCATTGTTCGCTGATGACACTACCATTTATTTTTGTCACGATAAGAAGCCATCTCCCTCTGATTGCTTGCAGGGGGCATCTGAGCTTGAAATGGATCTCACTTCTGCTACAGCAGGGGCTCACAGTGGCTGGTGAACTTTAATTCAGATAAAACTCAATTTTTTTTGGCCAATTGTTATTGCAATAGTTTAGACCTTCCTATATTTATGAACGGTAATGTACTCGATGAGTCTCCTACCCTTTATCTTCTAGGATTAACTCCTACTTCTGATCTTTCTTGGAAACCATATATCAAATCCGTTGCAAAATTAGCATCTGCTAAAGTTGCATCTCTTTATCGAGCTCGTCACTTTCTTACTCTGGATTCTATTCTCTATCTCTATAAATCTCAAATCCGGCCTTGTATGGAATACTGTTGCCATATCTGGGGCGGATCTTCTAATGATGCCCTTTCTCTTTTAGACAAGGTGCAAAAACGCATTGTAAACATAGTAGGACCTACTCTTGCAGCCAACCTTCAACCTCTATCACATCATCGTAATGTTGCTTCACTTTCTCTTTTCTACAAATACTATAATGGACACTGCTCGAAAGAGCTAGCGTCTCTTGTGCCATCTACTAAAATTCATTCTCGTGTTACTCATCATTCAATTAAGTCTCATCCTTTTTCTGTTACTGTTCCTAAGTTCTCCAAAAACTCTTATTCGTCTAGTTTTTTTCCTCGAACATCAGTTCTTTGGAATTCGCTTCCCTCATCTTGCTTTCCTGATTCATATAATTATTTCCTGATTCATATAATTCATATAATTATTTCCTGATTCATATAATAATAAAGATTTGCAATCTTTTAAGTCGTCTGTCAATTGCTATCTTGCTCTACAATCTTCATCTTTCCTCTTTCAGTAACTTCCAACACTAATTAGTGGTTGCTTGCAGCCTTGTTGGAAGCGAAGATAATTAAAAAAAAAAATAATTATCAAAATTTAGTTTACAAAATTAATAACAAAGTATTTTCTAGCAGTAAATTTTTACACTAAATAATCAATAAAAAATAAGACTTATTTTTGTTTAAATGCAACTATTATTCAAATTAATTTAAATTTATCCAATCAAAATTTAAATTGCATATCTTTTTACATAAAGTTACCCTGTTTAAAAATAAAAGATTAGTCACAGATTGACTTGCTTGAATCAGCTACTTTATTTTCTTATTCACTTTCTATTTTATCTTTTTCAAGTTACTCAAGAAAATACGAAAAATGCAAAGTTTAATTAAATATAAATAAGGATGTAACTATAATAGAAAAAAGTATAAAGTATGTAAAATAAAATATTTATGATATCATACCAAGATAAGCCATCTGCAGAGGTTTCTTTAGCACATATATTGACTGATGACAGGCAGGCTTCGCCAGGAAGGCGTGCAATTTCAAGTCTTTATATGGCCATGCAAACAATATTTTATTTTCATGATTTAACCACTGTCTTTATTAAATGCGCTAAAAAATTTGGTTTTTAATTACGTTGACAATAAATTACTTTGACACGTTTATCTTTACTAACATTTTTATATTAAGAAAACGCTTTTAAATAAAATAGCTAATGATTTTAATTAAAGTATCATTGAAATTTGCATAATTTTTTTTTATATTATTTAATTATATAAGATTTTTTCATAAGTAAAAAAAAAAAGTAAAGGTTTAAAAATAATAATAATTAAATTTTGTAAGCGACGACTATAACAGCAAAGGTCTCCTTAATAAACTTCTTCTAAGAATCATTTATGTTTCTGCTGAGAAGAAAAAAAAAGACAAACTTCTTTGAAAGCTGTTTGAATTAAATATTTTTGATCTTTATTTGCTTTTTTAAATTATTGAAATGTTTTTAAATAAAGTAATCACTGCTAATGATTTTTTATAAAAACATTAATGAATAATATATATTTTTTTATATTTATATAAGTATTTATTTTTTATTATAAATGTTTTTAAACAAAAAAAAAATTTTATCAATTTTGTAAACAATTGATTTAATTTTTTTTTTTTTTTTTGTGCAAAGAATTGTGAAGAATTTTTTTAATTTATAAATGTGCGCGTTTATTAAACAATTGTCAGTTGTAAATTGTTACTTTATTAAAAAAGCATTTCAAATAATATTACATAATAAAAACATTGGTAAAGATAAGCGATTCAAAGTTATGTATTCCAAATATAATTTAGTCTTATCATTATAGTTTATAATTTATTTTAGTTTTAATTTTATTTCTGCTATTTTAGCTTTAGTTAAGATGTTTAGTTAAGAATTTTATTTTGTTTCTTGTTATTTATTTTTTTTACCAAGATTTATTTGCTTGTATTATGATAAGTTATTTTTCAAGTTCCTTTATAGTTGAGATAATTTTTTTGGGGCGTTTTTAAAACGTATACAACCTTTCAAAACATATTAAAAGCCATGGTCAAGTTAAGTTACTTTTAGGAAAATTTTATTTTTTTTAATTTTATTTTTCAAAAACTGTCAGGGTTAAAGTTGGCATTTTAACACTTGTAGTTTGAAAAATATATTAGGACATCAAGTGTGTGTTGTATGTATATATGTATGTACCTATGTATGTATGTATGTATGTATGTATGTATGTATGTATGTATGTATGTATGTATGTATGTATGTATGTACATATACATATATATGTATAAACATATATATATATATATATATATATATATAAACATATATATATATATATATAAGCACACACACACACTATATATATATATATATATATATATATATATATATATATATATATATATATATATATATATATATATATATATATATATATATATATATATATATATATATATATATATATATATATATATATATATATAGTTGTCAAATTAATAAAGATCATTAGAAAACGCTTTTAGGGTCATGCAGATGAAATAGTTGGCATCTGCCCACATATATCTTATGGTGAGATCTGTTATTCCCTCTCTTCTGATGGATCTTTAAACATGTATAATGTTGAAAATAAAGTTCTTGTTTGGTCTTACTCATTAAAGGTATGATGCCATTTTATAAAGATTGTGTATATGATAAAATCATATTTTAGTTTTTAATATAAATATTTAATTATAGTGCCAAATCATTTGTGTTTTTCACCATTAAGATAATGTTAACTAAGGTTTTATTGTATATAGCAGGGGTTGGCAACCTGCGACTTTTTTATCCAAGGTAAGGGGCTCTTCAGTCTGGCCAAGTTATAAATGCTTTGGTTTTATTGAAATATAAAAACTTAATAAAGCATTTTATCAAAAAAAAAAAAAAATATTAGTTTGATGAGTAACAGTTTGAAATAAAATTATATTAAAACAAAGTATGTAGTTATTAATAAGATACTGTTTTAATAGGCGTTTTATTCAAATGCAACATAGTTCCACAAAACTGCATGCAAATTTTGTGTGAATAAAATTTGAACACAACTGTCAACATTGCATATCAAATGTTTTAATTAATAATTGTGAAGCATTATAAAGGGAAAAATATACGTTTAAACATAAAATACTATCTGTGTCAAAACTCTTTTATTAGATTAGAAATAGAAGTTCATCTACTACGTTAAACTTTGCCATAACTGAAAAAAAAAAAACAGAGAAAAATTCAAGATAAAAATCACAAATTTTTAATTCGAATAGACAGAAATGTATGTATACCAAGTACTACTGGTTTACAATCATGTTTAATCTGTGTTGAAATGTTGTTGAATAATTAAAATTCAAATCTTAAATGTCCTTTTTCAACAAAACACTGTACTTTTGCCAAAAAATAGTCATCTAGTGACAACAGAAAAGCCAAAATATTAGAATTGCAATGAAATACATAAAATTTATCCTTGACATTTAATAAATACAGTCTTCAAATTGTCTTACTGCTGTTAGCATTTCTGTTTTTCAAGAAATAATGAAATGTGAAAAACCGGGAAACGTTAAATCCAATCCATCAAAGTGCTGTTTGAACAGTTTTTAAAAATTCTAGACCTGATTACGGCATTTACAATGTGATATAAATGTTATCAAATTAATCTTAATTAAAAATATTATTAATAGTTACATGATTAATAATAAATATTAAATACAAATGTTATTAAATGTTATTAAAAATCTCAGAGTTCTTTTATTTTAAAGTACAACTATTTTTCCTTTGGAGATTGCATCGGTCAGTAAAATTTAGATTGCACTTTGAAGGATTGGATTTAGTGTTTTCCTGGAAAACCTTTTACAGAAGGAAATTAAATACATTTTTTTTTTGGTTCTCGGGGTCTGTATAATGTTAGCTGTGTTTAATTCATAACAGTTTTGGTATATGACATCATCGCAAAATCTTTTTAAGATAGCGTTGTTGTTTTTGATTGATTGTTGTTGTTTTTTTAAAGATATAAGTATTTTTTCTGCTACAAGCAGAAAATCAAATATTTGTATAATTTTTTACTAATTAAAAAATATTTGTGATTTAGTAAAAAATTATACAAATATACATGTATATTTGTATATATACAAATATACATGTATATTTATATATATTTTTTCTTGCTTTATTATTACTTTGTTTTTAAGCCAGCCAAAATCATGACACAATTATACATATTTTGTGATTATTCGGGGCAGTGAAAAAATAAAGGCAGTATGATGTGGTTTCTTGTTTTATATTTAGTTCATATGGTTTAATAGAGTTTAATGTTCATTTTATGTTTAATTTACATTCAGTTATGGTTTAACTCTTTTACTACCGCAAGCTTCTGGTAGCGGCTTTCGAGTATGCTTTTCAATTTATCTTGTTTTGTACATGAATTTCCACTTTAGACACATAGAATTTGTTTGTTCTAAAGGTTTAATTAATTCTCTACACAATCAAGAAAAAATAACAGCAGTATTATGTAATTATAAAAAAATTATCACAAAGTTAAAAAATCTTGAATAATCTTTCATGAAAAAAACTTCTTTAAATTTAGTTATAAGCGTTAACACTGTAAAACTTAACTTGTAGAAGTGTTGAGTATTCATTTAAGTAATTACCAAAGTATTTTGAAAAAAATATATTCTTTTTATTCATTAAACGAGGTTTGTTTCAGACTTAATGTTTTAGTTACTACTAAAAAACAATGGTTTTAAGCACTCAAGTGCTTAAAATGCAAATTTGCATTCTTATTGTTAAATGATGCGTGTTAAAAACTTTATTATTATCGAGTTTTAATTAATTGTTAATGTTATGCTATTCAAATGTTATTCAACAAATGTGCGGTTGCTAGAAAAAGATTTTTGTTCGGCTAGTAGCAAATAAGTTGATGCGAATCTTTGTTTTTATATTTATATTATAATTATTTTTTGTATATTTTTGTACAAATGTTTGTTTTAACTTTAATTTAGTTTGATTTGTACGGTTATTAGTAAAATAAGTTGTTTAATATTTATTTTCAAATTAGTTCAATTTATATGTTTTATTCAAGTCACTCATTTTTTATTCAGTTTATACTTTAAATTAATTTATATGCTTTAGTAAAGTTATTCTTTTAGTATCTAGTTTATATTTAGTTTAAAGTACGTTTTACTATGAATATTCACTATATATTAAATTTTTTTTTATATAAATTTAGTTTTTTAATTGCATCATAAACTTTTTTTTGGGGATTTAGTAAAAAGTTATACAATTAACATGGTTTAGTGATAGTGGCAAAAAAAATAATACCACATCTTGAAAAAAAAAAATTATACAATGACGTCATATACCAAAACTTTTATAAATTAAACATGCATGGAATAAATTATCAAGTCTGCAGATTGTGGCTAACATTATACAGACTCCGAGAACCAAAAAAAATGGAGATAGCAAGCTTTGACTTAAGCATGAATTTTAAAATTAATGGTGTGCATTCATTATTTAGTTTTAATAAAAAAAATTTAGCCCAAATATTTTTTTCAAACATTTTCTTTAATATGAACACAACTTGTCTTGGCAGTTGGGGATCCCTTTAAAGTAAAGAGAAAATAATTTACAAAATCAAGGAAATACCACTTACTGTAAAAAAGTTTTTTTTAACATCTTTGCTTCCAACAAGGCTGCAAGCAAACACTATTACAGTGGAAGTTACTGGAAAAGAAAAGATGAAGTTTGTAGAGCAAGATAAAGATTGACAGATAGCTTAAAAGATTATATAAATCAGGAAAGCAAGATAAAGGAAGCGAATTCCAAAGAACCGATGTTCGAGGGAAAAAACTAGACAAAGAGTTTTTGGAGCACTTTGGAAAAATAAAGGCTTTGTGTCGTATTTCAAAAAAGTCATTGAATGCAATATTTTTAGTTTTTATTGCATCATACACCAAGAGGGTATTGTGTGCGCAAACATTTTCCTTCAAGATTCAAGAGGTAATGGGTGGTAAAAATAGTCAATAAAATGGCCTCAAAGGCATTAAATCATTGCAAATTACTTGATGAAATTAATGAAAAACATTCTGATTTCTTGTTGCATAATGTCCATCTTGTTGCATAATGTCCATAAAGTCCATTGGTTATATCCTTAAATATTTTGGTTGATATAATGAACATCTTAAAATGTTTTTGTTGCTAAGGTTTTGAATACCCTGAGTTAAACGATGATAATTGGTTGCAAAAATTTAATTTTGTTACAAATATGACAGCTCATCTTAAAAACCTTAATAAAAAGTTGCAAGGGTAAGGCAATACTGCATATTGGTTTTTAGAAAATGTAGTTTCTTTTGAAAGTCTATGTTTATTCAAGATATTAGCAATCAAAATTTTCCATTCAAAAAAAAATCAGGAAAATAACAGGAAGTGTTATTTACGCTAAATATTTTTTGTCTGCTATTGAAGAAATAACCACTTTACAACCTTCAGAAAAAATAAAATTACTTTGTCATTTTCGATGCATCCACTTACTGCAAACACCAACAAAATTAATTTTAAACAATTTCAAAAGGTCAATAAAGCTAACTTTAAACTTCAATTAATAGATTTGAAATCAAAAGATGTTTGGTCTTCAAAATTTACAACTTTGCAAACAGAACTAGAAAACTTGGAAAGAAAAGAAGAAAAATTTGCATAAATGGAAAGAACTTTCAAATTCTCAAAAGATCAAGTTATATTTGAAACATGGAATAGTCTTTCTGATAAGTACAACCAATTTAAGCTTTTGGACTCTTGACAGTTTTTGGATCTACAAATTATTTTAAGCAGATATTTAGCAACATGAACCTTAAAAGTAACTTGAGATCTTTTCTCAATGATGTTAGCCTTAAAAGTAACTTGAGATCTTCTCTCAATGATGTTTACCTTAAAAGTAACTTGAGATCTTCTCTCAACGATGTTAACCTTAAGATGTTAGACTTAAAAGTTGTCTTAAACTAAAGACTTCAAATTATGATTTAAAACAAATCTTTAAAATTCACAAAAATCCTAATAATCTATTTATTTTTGTTTAATTGCTTGTTTTAATTATTTTTTTGTTTATTTACTTTACAAAACATAAAAAAAAAATATTTAAATGTCAATGAGTGTTATAAAATAATTTTGATAATCATTTACATTTTTTTTTTGCATCCTTACGACTCTTGTTAAGATTTTTCAAAATGATTTAAAATTTCTTCTTAAGATTGATTGCCAACCCCCTGGTATACAGTAATAATAAAGTTACTGTGTTATTTTTTATATCTTTGCAAATTTGCTGTGTCTTATTTTTTTTTTTTTTTTTTTTTTTTTTTTTTTTTTTTTCCAAAAAAGTTTTTGTTGCATAGGGTAATGGTAGCTGTATGACAGTTCATCCTTGTAAAGATTTTTTATTCATTGGGTGTCTAAATGGAAGGTAATAAATGGCTTAAATACTATTTCTACATAATTTGGTCATAAAAGTATTTATAAAATTATGTATATGTATATTTGTGTGTAGATTTTTATTTTTATTTTTTTTTTAATGTTAATTCACCTCTCCCAAGGCTGAGAAGGCCACTATAATCAAGGAGGCTACTTTAATTGTAGTTACAACCCTCTTTCAACTTAATAACTCCAAAACATGAATCTTGATGAACAAGGCCACTGTGCGGAGAAACAAGTTGAGCTCGACATTACCAGGGACATGGTGGGGAGGATTTTGTATTATGACATCATGTTTATATAATAAGATACAAGTAAATGTGTTTACCCTGGTCATATAGATTTTTTTTTTGTTTTGTTTAAAGTATATCAGTATGTCAGATATGTACTGACCCATTGATGTATTGTTGAAAACATGTTTTATATGTAATTATATTTATAAGTTGTATTTGGTATTTTAGTATTCATGTATTGGACTCTTGTTTGGGAAGCTTCATTGAAAAATTTAAAAATGAGAGTTCTTCTATTTCTTGTTTACAATTTTCAAAAGGTGGGTTTTTAAATATTTAATAGTTTTTACAGCTTTTAAACATAATAGTATAATAATATTGGTTAAATTATAAAAGTCAGTTTTTTTTTATAGATTTTGGGTCAATAAAACTCTTAGTTTTTTGAATTAATTTTTCCTTACTAAAGTTGTATGTACAGAAATGTTATCAGGGAAATCGTACATACAGAAATCAGGGGACAAATAATCAGCTCAATCAATGCATATTTCGAAATGCTAAAAAAAAAAAAAAAAAAAAAATGAAAACCCAGATAGACTATTTTGTCATGTTATATACCAAAATTGTTTTTTAATCACAAAAAAGGCTGTATACAAAAGAGGCTGTATACAAAATTTAAATGTTTTATATACCGCAGTAAAGTTAATACAAAAGTTTAAATGATTTTTTTCATGGCAATAATTATTAATTTGCTTATAGTTGTAATAACTTTTTAAAATATTTTTTGTATGTCATACAATTTTTAGATGGTGTTTTCTTAGCATCTGGACATATGAATGGCAAAATTCTAGTTTATGATTATAATAACAATTGTGTCATTCACAGAGCAGTGGTATTATATAGTTTAATTATTTCAAATTGAAAATTTATGTTTTTTTTATTTATATGTAAATTTATTAGTCATTAACATATATCAACAAATATACACACTAATAAATATAATCTTATCTAGTTTAAATAAAGTCAATATGAAGTAAAGAACTACTGAATATATATGTTTACATATATATTAAGAATTTATTTTTATTTAATTATTTCTATAAATCAAAGCCGTAGAATCAAGTTAAAATTGTTTTGTAATGTATAAGTCATAATGTATACAATCATGTTATATTTATTTTATGGATTTTATTTTAAATTTTGAAGTAGTTCTAAATATTTATTTTATTTCAATACAAATTTTCTTTTCTATCAAGTAATATTGTGTTAAAATAACCAAAAAACTGATAAAATAAATAAATCTATATAAAAAATTGGTTGATAAAACATAAGTAAAGTTGTAGGTGAATGTTCTCTACTTAATAAACTTTGACTAAATCTTTTGATATAATAAGTTCCCATGATTCCAACTTAAGGGTGCTGACACAATCTACAATATCTTAAAATGATTTATAAAAATAATGTACATCGTTTTGAACTTTATACTTAATGTTGAAAGTCTTGCTAAAGAACTAAAAAAAGAAAAAGAAAAAAACTTTTTAAATTAAGAAAAAAAAATTAAAACAGATTCTGTTATTGAAATTTTTACTCAGATGTTGAGGCGGTAAGTTTACAGTGACCTATATTGAAGGTAAAAAACAAAAGCTCTTGATATACAGTGCAATATACTTCTGAATATATTGACCAATATTCTTCTGAGCGCAAAAGACTTTAGTCATTAAATTGTACATAAATGATTTTAACAAATTTATATTATATTTTAAATTTGGTAAAGTGATTTTTTATTTTGAAATTATTTGCACATTATCATAATAATTTTTTCTCTTATTTAATAATTGTATAATTGATATTTTTTTGCTGGTATTAATATTTCATTAATATTTACATTATGATATTGATTTATTGTTTACAGTTTATATTGTTTTATAGTAGTTTAGTTTATATTAAAAAGCAACATTTTGTGGGAAAAACAACCTATAGCATATATATGTTGAAATATAGCTTTTTTGGGAGAAAAATGAGCCAATGAATCAATGTTAAAATGCATCTTTTTGTAAATTTTATTTTAAATTTCTAAATAATTCACTACTTTATTTATTAGTTTCATGACATTTTTTGATCAAAATTTTGAACTGCTAACATTTTGCTTATATTATTATGAAGAACATTTTTGTGTTACATTTGATCAAAGAACCTAATGTTTGATACTTCAAATCAATAAAAAGATTCTTCTCTTCAAGTTACAAAAAAAAAAAGGAGTTTAAAGTTCTGATTCATAATGGCTATATGTGCTAGTGTAGACACAATTTAGGTTTTGTGTGTTTCATGGTCATTAGTAATGGTGTTTTACATATTTTTATGTAATACCTCATCTCTCAAAAATATTTCTTTATTGATTTGTGAGAAAATTTTTTTTTTTTTAAATCAATAACATGTTTATTCAACCCTTTAACTTTCTTTTGTTTCTTTTATATGTCAATAAATAAAAATATTGGTCAAAGTTCAGAACCTAAATTGTAATATTTAAACAGAACTATACTACATACTATTTAACCAACATACCGAAGTTCCTGTATGATAGTTTTCTGTAATAATAAATATATTTATATTTATTTGATACCTGTTTTCCATCATCGCTATGTCCTGATGGACATAGCGATGGTGGTCCATAGTACAGCAATGTCCTGTACCAGAAAGGACATTGCTATGTACTGTCAAATTGTCAACATAAGACATTAAAAGTTGTAGGTTGTATAAGTTGGGAAAACATAAAGATGAGAGAGAGAGTTCCAAAGCATTGATGTGTGATTAAAGAACTGGTTTAAAAGTTTTTAGAACATGAATGAATAGATACATTAAAAGGATACAACTTTGCTGAATAATGAGTCAAGTGAGAATGAGTTGGTTGTTGGAGATGATAGCTTGTTTGAGCAGCAATCATGATAGTATTTGTAGAAAAGAGAAAAAGATGCAACCTTACAACAACGGGTGGCTCAAGCTTAGAAGATAGAACAGGTCAAACTACATTGTAAATGTAGTTAGACTTGCTCTACAAATATGACAACAGTATTCCATAAAAAGATTAAAAAGAGATTTGCAGAGACAGAGAATTAAATTGGGAGTAGGAAGATTGCGAGCATATTAAAGAGAACCAACCTTAGCAGATACAAACTTTGTAATAGATTATATATATGGTTTCCATGAGAGGTCAGTAATGAATGATTTCAAGAAGATGGAAAGAAGGGAGTTCAGTGAGTAGGTTGCCATTCATCAATAATGTCAACAATATTGCAATAGTTTTTGCTTTAATTAACTGAGTTTTGTTTGCAAGCCACTGCAAGCTGAATCATCATCATCAGCAGCAGCAGCAGCAGCAGCAGCAAATAGTCAGCCACTTTAGAAGTCAGGAAGAGCATTAATAAAGATAAGAAACAATACGAGACTAAGGATACAACCTTTAAGTACCCCAGAAATAAAAAAGAGTGTTGAGGATTACTTTAATTCTGCAGTTAGAAAGAAATGATTTAATAATTTCAAAAACTATCCTAGGTACGCCATATGAAGCAAACTTATGGATAAGACCAGCATGCCATGTTGTCTGGACTATAAGCTGTAGAAGAGTTTAATTTATAAATAACTTTAGCAACAAAAGCTGGAGTGATTTGATGTCTAACAATGGGTAATCCTGTTTCACTGGAATGGCTTGAAGAGTGCGGCTGTTCAATTCAAGGGACAAATTAGAGGAAAAGTTTTTTTTGCAATAATAAAAAGACATTTTGTTTTTAAGAAAGTTTTCTTGTTAAAAGATGGGGTAAAAAATTTCCATTAGAAATAGCTGCTGCACAAAAAGTTAAAACCATGGAATGGAATGAGGCTTGATATGAAACCAGCAAAATGAAATAAAAGCTTCCATACCTGGATTCAAGAGATTGCATAGGAAATACAATTATCAGATGAGAAAAAAAAGCATTAGCCTAAGAACTGTCACAAAGAAAATCACAAAGAGAATCTCAGTCAGCTTGAGTTTAGGGCAGTAGGTAGTGGAATGATAGACTGAGTCTGAAGAGAAGTATGAGATAAAAGATTCAAATGACCATTGCATGGTCGGAACCACCTAAAGGAGAACAAGGAGAAACTGAACACAAGCCAGGGTCAGTAACAAGACAATAATCAATGTGTAAAGCTAAGTGATTAGGGTTGTCTGGAAAATGAGTCGCCAGTTAACTATTTAAGTAAGAGATTGAGAAATACAGGTATTATGAGCTTTAATGCCAGCAGGGTCAGGGTCAAGTGTTAGGGCTGAGCCATTTGGTGTAATGTGCATTAAAGAAACAATATTTTAAGAAAGCAAATTCTACAAGGCAGTGTGACATAGGCAGGTTATACTAGGTTACAAAATTGTCGTAAATGGAATGACTCAAAAAATGGTTGTTGTAAATGTGATAACTTAGCAGGGCTGAAATAAAGATATAGTCAGTGTAAATTTCTTTTTAAAAATGTTGACAGTTATTTTTATAGCTTAAATAATTTCAGTAACTAGTAAGAAATTATTAAATAATTATAAAGTATAATAGTTATAAAAATTTAATTGTTCCAAAAAAATTTGTCTGAAGTTTGAAAGATTTTTTTCACAGACAAGTACAATATAGTACGTTTTTTTTTCTCACAGAAAAGTACAATATATTATGTTTTTTTTCAAGACATGTACAATAAAGTACGTTTTTTTTCTCACAGACAAGTACAATATAGTATGTTTTTTTCTCTCTCAGACAAGTACAATATAGTATGTTTTTTTTCTCACAGACAAGTACAATATATTATTTTTTTTTTTTTTTTTACATAAAAATACAATATATTATGTTTTTTTTCTCACAGAAAAGTACAATATTTATGTTTTTTTTTCTCACAGAAAAGTAAAATATATTATGTTTTTTTTCTCACAGAAAAGTACAATATTTATGTTTTTTTTTCTCACAGAAAAGTAAAATATATTATGTTTTTTTTCACACAGAAAAGTACAATATATGTTTTTTTCTCACAGAAAAGTACAATATATGATGTTTTTTTTCTCACAAAAAAGTACAATATATATTGTTTTTTTTTCTCACAGAAAAATACAATATATTATGGAATAGTAAAAATTGTAGGACTATATAATAGAAAATGTTATAGGATTTACAAAAATTCATGATCAGTTTTAGAAAATGAAAATGTGATCTTGATGATTCTGAAAACTTAACAATCTAACAAAATAGTTTCTTTTAAACCTTTTTATTAACTGTTTAAACCAGGTATTATAAATAACAAAACTGTTTTTTTTTTTGGCCATGTAAAATAAATAAAATAGATTCTGATTTTTTGTTAAAGATCCATAACTTTTGATCTCTAAGCCCAGTGTCCCTAAAATCAATTTTTTCACACTCTTGCTTGTGAGTTATTTTTACAAAAACCTTTTTGAAACCAAAATTGCTGATTCACAATTAGGAATTTTTAATTTTGACTGACTTTTGATGTTGACAAGGTATTATTTTTAACATTTAAAATGTTAAGCATTTTTCTACTTAAGTGCTACTGAGCCCAATGTAACTATTTTTGAAATCTATTGAAAGTGATTGCACTGCAACAGTGTTGCTATATATTTTATAGTGGCACTTTTTTCTAAATGCATAAAGCATTTAGAAAAAAAATGAAATGTGTTTAATTTCAAGGTTTCTGAATATGCTATATCATCCATTGATTGGTGCATGTCAAAGAATTTGCTTCGTGTGCAAACTCATCGAGTAAATTTGATATGTTGTAAGTAAAAGGTTTTTTTTTATTACAAATAAAATTTTTTAATCTTAGATTTATTTTGGCATTAACTTTTTAGTAACACTTCTTTTTGCTTTGTTTTTGATTAAAATTTTATTAAAACTGTTTTTTTTACCATATAACACCAAGTAAAAATTAGTTTTAGTGTTTGTAATGTAAGCTTTCGAAATTACCACTGCAACATGGGTTCTAGGAAAAACACAAACAGCAAACTGAAAACCAGAAAAAATGCAAGCTCTTTTGCAAATATTTGCTAGTAGGCTGTATTAAATGATTGGCTAATAGGCTGTAAGCCATGATCCAAAAATGTATTAAAAATGAAAAATCTGGAATAATTTGAAACACTAAAGCAAGTTTTTGCATTTTGTACTAACACTACTGCAACACCACTACAACACTATTGCAACACTACTGCAACACCACTACAACACTACTGCAACACCACTACAACACTACTGCAACACTACTGCAACACTACTGTAACACTACTACAACACTACTGCAACACTACTGCAACACTACTGCAACAACTCTAACACTACTGCAACACCACTACAACACTACTGTAACACTACTGCAACAATTGCATGCAGATTAAAAAGAGCAATTTGAACGCAATTTTTAAAAATAACATTGGTTTAGTTAATGTGTTGACACATGCGAATAAATAAATGGGAATAAAAGTAAAAGTTATTTAAACATTAGGAATTGGTGGAAGAATTTTGTCTTAAATTTTGAATGATATTTTTCTGCTTAAGGTGCTAAATTTTAAGATTTTTCAAAGAATTTTAGAGAATTTGTTTTTTAATTTACATATTGTGTTTTGAAGTAAGTATTTTTGTAGACTTTTTCTTTAATAAATCAAATACTCTGTGTGATAATCTGATCTAAACGTTAATGTATAAATATATATTTTATATGTAAATATGTTATATGTTTTATTGATTTACTTACTTTTATTGTTTTTATAAAATATAATCAACAAAAATTTAAAAATAAGCAGTAAAAATTTTTTTTTCTTGAATTTCAATCAATTTTGTATCAATTTTTTATGTTGAAAAAGTTATGAAATATTTTTATAAGGAAAACACATACATGCTCTACTGTAAACCTGGTAATACTTTAAACTACATACATGCTCAATCTAACCAACCTAACTTAAAACAAAAACAAACAAAAAATAGCACACATAAAATAATTTGGTATAACCCTCCTTTAATATAAATGCTACTACAAATATAGGAGAATGCTTCTTAAACTTGATTGCTAAGCATTCCAATTAACCACAAACTGAATAAAGTTTTTAAATGAGCACTGTAAAAATTTTGTTGCATGCCAAAAATTAAATCAGTAATAAATTCATACAATAAATACATCATAAACAAAAAAATTTAGCCATCAACAAAATTAACTGCAATCACCTTAATAAAAATACTTTTTTTCATTTGAATATATATATATATATATATATATATATATATATATATATATATATATATATATATATATATATATATATATCAACTGACTATGATCTAGATAGGACATGCAAAGGAGTGCTGCTATGTTTACTGAAGGTTTGGGTTCAGGCAGCAATTGTTTTTTTTTCTTTTTTTGAAAAATACCTTATGAGTTTGTCAGCAAAAAAAGTTGGCAAACGTATCTTTTTACACTATAGTAGATATATATAGAATTTTTGATATATAAAAAGTTTAGTTTTTTTCCATATTTTAAAAATAAATTTTTAAAATAATGTTTTCATAAAATATGATTATTATTTTTGAAATTTTTATAAAATTTTTCTTCTTTTAGTACCAGGTTGACATATTGCAGGCTGACATACTTTTAAAAATATTATTTTAATAATATTAGAGACCTATTAAATATTTAAGGGTCAGTGGAAACCCCTTAAAATATTTTTTTATTTAAAAAGTGGGACCCTTTTAAAAAAAATTTTTTACCTGATAATTGCCTTTAGCATAAAACTAACAGTTGTAAAAAAATATATAGTTTTATATATATATATATATATATATATATATATATATATATATATATATATATATATATATATATATATATATATATATATATATATATATATATATATATATATATACATATATATATATATATATATATCAGTGTTTGGAAAGTTCCTTTTTAAAAGGATCTTGTTCTGTTCCCCATTCATTTCGTATAATAAGAATGCGTTCCAGATCCTTGTTCCTTACCAGAAAAAGGATTTTTTTCCAAATTCCTCAATAAAAGGAATTCGTTCCAACTTCGTTCATTTTTTTAAAATTATTTTTAAATTGTTAATTATGTATTACTTTAAATTAATGGGAATAAATTTATTATATCAGGTTTACATTTGTTATTTTTTTAAATAGTTTTCTAAATATTTTGCTCTCTTGCTGGCCTAGTCTGGCTATGCATGTAACTTTACACATACATATGTTATATGTTAATTTCGGTTCAAAAGCATTAGCAAAATGATATTAGAAACTAGTAAAATATACAAAAAAAACAAATATTTTAAACTTTAACTTTATTTTGTTTTAATAAAACTAATTTTTCAAATAACAAATCACCCAAATTATATCTTTTTTCAGTCATCACATTAGACCCTGTTGAAAATAGTCGCTCGACCGGTGCACTTGATGGAAGAGGTGTGTTAAGTTCTAAAAAGACTTTTAATACTGCTGGGTATAATAATAAAACAGATAACTTTCTTGACTGTGATTTTAAATATAATTCTAACTCTTCAATAGCTGAACTTGTAACTATGTTGCTTTCTACAGGTAAACAGAAAAAGTCTTTTTTAGATGTATCTGTAGTTGTATGTGAAGAAGATTCCATTTCACAAGCTGCTGAACTAGGCCTATGATCCATATTTTCAAACAAAGATTTCAACGAAGCTTCTGCTGTAAAACATTTTATACCATTAAACCATAATAATTAAAAACTAGGTAACAAACACGATGTAATATTACATAGATGAGTTTTATCCGGGAATTCCGGAAATTCACTTTTAATTAAAATTTTTACGAGATCAATTTTCGTAACAATTTTTTTTACTTTTTTTTTTTTGCTTTTTAATTCATTCAAATTAGCTTTTTCGAACATTAGAAATTCCTTTTTGTAAAAAGTTAAATATTCTAAATTCCGTTTTAAAAGTTTACGAAGGTTTTTGTTGTCTGTTACTGGGTTATTCATTCTTATATGCGCGCCTATTCAATTTTATATGCGTATTTATTCATTCTTATATGCGTTTTAAAAAAGCAATAAGAACAAAAAAAATCATTTAAGCATTTTGTTTTGAAAAATTGTTTATTTTTTTCAAAACAAATTTTTCTTATTTCCTGGTAAATGAGGTTAAAAATACTTAAAACGAAGACTTTTTACATTCCGTAATGGTTTATTTAATTTAGTATCAGGTCTTTATTTAATTTTATTACATTATTAAATTTCTTGATTGATTAAATTATTATTTATCTAATTATTCATTTACTTAGATTTAAATTTAATTATTTATAATTATTATTAATATATCTATATAAAAATTTAAAAGCCTATTTATTGTTTATATTAAATTATATTAGAGATTTTATGGGTGCTTGACTCGCACATAAATGCGCATATAAGAATGAATGAATACGCATATAAGAATGAATAAATGCGTATATAAGAATGAATAAATGTGCATATAAGAATGAATAATCAAGTATATAAAAATCAATAGACGCGCATATAAAAATGAATAACCCTGTAAAAAGATCAATTTTTAATTAAATAATTTTCCGGGATATTCCTGGATTTTTATAGAAAAAAATTTCCGGGATTTTCAAAAAGTCAAATACTCATCTATGATATTAGTTCTTTTTTTTCCCATATAGCCCTAAATCGAGCTTGAACTGAAGATTTAACTGTGTTGACAAGTGGGCCCCAAAAGCTCATATTTTTTTGTTGCAAAGTAGTTAGTTTTTTATCTAAAGCGTAAAGCATAGGTAATAAATACCCCATAAACGTTAATTCTTCTCCTTGTAAAAAGTCTAAAGATTGGGCCAGAGGAGTCATAACTTCACAGTATTCTTAAATTATTTGAATTTCTTGATTTGTGAATCTTTGTATTTCAAAGAAATCCATTATATTGCTCATTTTGTTATGTCCATTAAAGTCTGAAAATATACTTTTAATTTGTTATAAGCTATCAGTTCCATCTTTTTATTAGGTGTTTTTGAATAAACATCTAGCGTATTGTGAATTTTTCCTGTAACTCTATTTAACATATTTTGTTTACTCCATAACGATGAACACTTGCCTATTGCTTTCCTATAAAGTTTCTTGAAATTACTAGGTGAATTCTGTACCATTTTCTCAACATCATTTTTTGCTATTTAGTCCAGTATATGACGAGTACATCTAAAATGTTGTGGTAACTGAACAAGTAAGTCACTCTCTTCTTGTTCATGAATGTTTTTGTCCAAAATGTCATACAAATTCATATTTTCACCTTATAAATCATCATCATCTTCATCTTCATCTTCATTACTATCCTCCTGATTCTCTGTATTTTCAGAAATATATCAATTAATATTACTGTATATGATTTAAAAGCTTTTACAAAATTTGAGCCACTGTCTGTTGTTGTAGCAACTATCTTGTTTTGTATTTTATAGGTTGTATGAACCTTATACAAAGCAGAAGCCAAAACAATATATGTATGTCTTCCTTTTATTTGGTTACATGCTAAAGATACTGAATTACGCTGAAGAGTCTTTTGATCAATTCAATGGCAAGTAGCCCCAATATAATTTCTTTAACATTTGCTCCAACAGTGAGCTGTAGTTGCAACATGCCTCCAACAGTGAGCTGTAGTTGCAACATGCCTCCAACAGTGAGCTGTAGTTGCAACATGCCTCCAACAGTGAGCTGTAGTTGCAACATGCCTCCAACAGTGAGCTGTAGTTGCAACATGCCTCCAACAGTGAGCTGTAGTTGCAACATGCCTCCAACAGTGAGCTGTAGTTGCAACATGCCTCCAACAGTGAGCTGTAGTTGCAACATGCCTCCAACAGTGAGCTGTAGTTGCAACAGTGAGCAACATACATGATATTTGCAGGAAGTTTTTCAACCATTGATGAATATAGACTATTAATACGTAGTTTTAAGATTTTACTGCAAATAATTTTCAGGTTTTTAGGAACCATTGATGAATATAGACTATTAATACGTAGTTTTAAGATTTTACTGCAAATAATTTTCAGGTTTTTAGGAACCATTGATGAATATAGACTATTAATACGTAGTTTTAAGATTTTACTGCAAATAATTTTCAGGTTTTTAGGAACCATTGATGAATATAGACTATTAATACGTAGTTTTAAGATTTTACTGCAAATAATTTTCAGGTTTTTAGGAACCATTGATGAATATAGACTATTAATACGTAGTTTTAAGATTTTACTGCAAATAATTTTCAGGTTTTTAGGAACCATTGATGAATATAGACTATTAATACGTAGTTTTAAGATTTTACTGCAAATAATTTTCAGGTTTTTAGGAACCATTGATGAATATAGACTATTAATACGTAGTTTTAAGATTTTACTGCAAATAATTTTCAGGTTTTTAGGAACCATTGATGAATATAGACTATTAATACGTAGTTTTAAGATTTTACTGCAAATAATTTTCAGGTTTTTAGGAACCATTGATGAATATAGACTATTAATACGTAGTTTTAAGATTTTACTGCAAATAATTTTCAGGTTTTTAGGAACCATTGATGAATATAGACTATTAATACGTAGTTTTAAGATTTTACTGCAAATAATTTTCAGGTTTTTAGGAACCATTGATGAATATAGACTATTAATACGTAGTTTTAAGATTTTACTGCGAATAATTTTCAGGTTTTTAGGAACCATTGATGAATATAGACTATTAATACGTAGTTTTAAGATTTTACTGCAAATAATTTTCAGGTTTTTAGGAACCATTGATGAATATAGACTATTAATACGTAGTTTTAAGATTTTACTGCAAATAATTTTCAGGTTTTTAGGAACCATTGATGAATATAGACTATTAATACGTAGTTTTAAGATTTTACTGCAAATAATTTTCAGGTTTTTAGGAACCATTGATGAATATAGACTATTAATACGTAGTTTTAAGATTTTACTGCAAATAATTTTCAGGTTTTTAGGAAGGCCTAACTTTACAAAATTTACATACGATGGTTTATCAACTATAGATAAAGTTTGTGTTTCACTAACAACAAAATTTACAACAAGTTTATCTAAACTTTTTTGATTTATTTTTAAACTCTCATATCCTTTTACGGTTACATATTTCTCAAGAATTGATTGCACCGCATCCTTTTTCACATTCTCCAATGACCCCTATTTTTCGTTTTTAACCAAAGAATTTTTTTTTACCTTCTTTTATAACTTTTTCAAAAGCAACCATTTTAAATGGATGAAGTCTTTAAAAATGAAACAAATATATATCTTTTTTTTAATAAAAACATTTGACAAATATTTAAACAAAAAAAATGTATTTATGTACAATATAATATACAATTTAATATAATAAGTATATGCTGGCAGTGTATTACTAATGTGGAAAAACAGTTTAAATATATTATAAATAATGATGTTCATTTCCTTTATTTCATTTTTTTATAAACCATCTTCAGGCAGTAAAAAAAAAAAGTCTTCTATAAGGAATCGAACGTGGGCCTCCGACTTCTCAGCTTTATTGAAAACCACTGTGCTACGCAAGCATGTTAGACTTGAGAAAATTTAAAATTATATATTAAATTATCCAGCCGGCAACTAATCTCAAAATTATTTGCTTTCACTGCCAGCAAATACCATTTGTGTTTAATAATTAAATATAAAGTTCAGCAGAAATTTCGGCATATTCAAAAAATGAAAACTATAGCAAATTATTGAATGTGCAATAATTGTGCATATGCTTTTAAGGCACAACAGTATGCATTTTAGTTACATAATAATAATTTATTATTACATAATAATTATGTATAAACTAAAATGAAAATATTATGATTTGAAACAAATCATTTGATAAAATTTTAGATTAGATGATGTATTTTAAGCAGTACTTTTATATTTTCCTGAAGGGCCACACAAAACACATTTTGCATTTATATTGTTGCTATTTATTTCATTGAATATAAAAAATGACTCTAAACCATTCTCTAGTATTTTGACTTAGACTTAAGCATTATGGTTTTAGTTAAGTCTGCAAGTCAAGACATGTTTTATTGTAATAAACTTACTTTAGAAGTACAATTTGCAAGTCAATTAAATATAAAATAGATAAAAGTAGCAGTATATTTTTTTAAAACTTACCACTAATTTCAGTGTCATTATTACATGCGCCACCATTAACGTTATCAATTTCAATAACTGAATTCATATTGCTTACTACAGCCGCATGAAATAAAATTACTTCTGCAAGGTTAGCCTTTTTAAAGTAACTCCGCAGCAAAGTTCGCCATCAGTTGGCTGAACGTACTATTTCTAAAACTATATAAATATATATATATATATATATATATATATATATATATATATATATATATATATATATATTCATATCCACAAAAAACAAGTCATTTTCAACAACAAACCTACAGAATGGAAAGATGTTTTATCAGGAATAAGGTTATTTTCTTGTATCAGTGATACAAGGAAGCATTCTCAGCCCAATCCTCTTTTTATTCTATGTATTAGACATAATGACTACCTTCTGAGAAGCATTACCCACAAGAAATACCAGCTGATATCCTAGCTTAAATGCAAATTCCTAATATCCAAGCTTAATAGTCAAATGCAATGTTATTTATATAGGCTGAGCTGCAAATCCAGTCATAACATTAAAAGATGAAATTCTTAAAGGTTTGCGATATCATACAAATACCTTGGCATCAACTTCAACTTATGCCTCAAATTTTTCAAACAATGGTCTAGCCTATATAATTAAATTTCCCCTAACATTTATCTCTTTAAGCATCTTTGGATATTTGGTGGATGGTCTCAGCCTATGTTTATATCTGTTTATCACATTTTTTTTCTTAGCCATTTTATCTACAATACACTTGTCCTCACCTCCCTAACCAATAAAACTAAATCCAAGATAAAACTCTTTCAAAACCTCTAAATGCAGCTGGTATAATGATGCAACCTACCATGGTTTCATAAACTTTTATATTTAGGTTTCATAAACTTTTCTATTTAGGTTTCATAAACTTTTCTATTTATTTATTTTTCATTTATTTTTTATTAATCAATAGATTTAACCAATAGAATTAATCAATAGAAAGGCATATAAAAGTCACTGTATAAACTATGGCATGTGATTGAATACACATTATACTTTTTTATATAAGTTTTTGCATATGAAGAGGTACCATTGTGCAGTTACACACCATTCACAACCAATTCTAAATTGTGAGTAATGCAAATTTTTTATTCTATAAAAGATCAAATTCAGTCTTTAATCATCCATTACTATACGTCGAATATTGCCAGTGCATACAACTTTTAAGCAAATTTGGTGTTAAATTTTGTTTTTGGTTTCTATTTAAATAGTAAGTAATGCCAGCAATAAATAAAGCCAGCAAAGAACTTAAAATTGTTATATATTTTTAGTCCAGTGTGCACTATTTAAAGTATAAACTTTTAAACTGGACAAGTGTGTACTATTTTAAGTATAAACTCTTAAACTGGATAAGTGTGCATTATTTATTTTAGCTGAACTATAGTTATCACTATCAAGTTCATTTACTAAAAATTCATGTTTGCATTTTCAGATAGTATTGATTCAAGTTCTCTTATTGAACCATTTGAATCCATTGAATGGGAGACTAATAATTGCTCAATATCGTATGAAACTTCAGGTAATTTTTATTTTGTTGTCCTTACATAATTGCCCTTTATAAAAAATTTTTAAATGTTGTCTTTTATAACCAAAATTGTTTATTTAAAAATGTCTATTTTATAATTGTATGAAATAGCTTTAGATATGTTTAAAGTTACATAAAACTACATTAAAACATGTTCATTGATGCATAAAATGGCCATTTATATATTTACAATATTATTTTTTAGTAATAAATTAAATATATAAAAAATGATTTGAATTTTATGTTTATTTATTAATTTTTATTAATGATTTTTAAATAATTATATTTATTAATGATTTTTACATATTGGTTTAAATTGAAATGACATTTTTCCATAAGTTTTTATACTTAATTTATAATTTTAAATTTTATTTATTTAAGATATGTATATTTTTGAAATTTTATAAGTTAAAATATAATAATAAGTATTGAGTTATTAAATTATTTCTGGGTTTTCATTTCCAAGAGAGGAGTTATTCATATCGACATTCATACATTTTACAACTCTCTCTCACCTAAACGACATTCATACATTTTACAACTCTCTCTCATCTAAACACCAAAGCCACTTATTTTTTTCTCTCATTTTTTTAATTACTATTTTAATTTAAAAAGTTTATTTTCTAAATAAAACTTTTTAAGAAAATTAATATTAAGTTTTTTTTTTCAGGTTTATGGAGCACAAAAGGTTATAAAGCAAATAAGATGTGTGTTTTGCAAGATCACTCTTTAATTACATTTTGTACAGAACAACTATTGTGTCTCGTTACTTATCCATATCTCTTTTGTAATAAGGTAAATAAGATTATATTGTTTAAATATTTTTTATTTAAAACTAGTAGTTTTATTTAATAGTTTTAAAGTTATATTGCTTAGTAGTCTTTATGATCTTCAACAACAACAAAAAATATTATTACTGCTTAGTGTAGTTTTTTTACTGTTATTTATTTTTTAAATGTATTTTTAGTTTTAATAAATTTTTGATTTTAAAAAGTTTTTCTATATTTTAAAATACAAATTGTCAATAGTAATAAGTAACTTTTAAATAACTGATTTTATTAGAAAAAGGAAAGACACTAGGTAGTAGTGTAAGGAAAGACACCAGGTGGTGTTAGTAATGTTTTAGTAGATCACTCACTTTGTAAACAAAATTTTAAATCATAAATAAGATTTTTTTAAATTTTCTTTATTTACAAATTTGAGGAATTTTTAAACTCATTTATTAAGATTTTTTTTATCGTTCTCTTCCAAACCAAATTCTTGTAACAATAAGTGCAGTAAAAAGTAAAAATAACTTAATAAAGTGTTGTAAAAAGCAATAACTTGATGATCATTTTTTAAATCTTTACTGAAGCTATAACCAGGGCTGTGGAGTCGGAGTTGAGGAGTTGCGACATTTTCAGCGGAGTCGGAGTCGCTAAACAAAATTGCAACTCCGACTCCAATAGTAAAACTTCTCGGTATTGCACGTGCATGTACAAAACATTCAATTAACCTTATGTTCATACTAAACCTCAAGGAACGTTTCATAAATTTGTCAAAAAAAAACTTTTAACTTATTGCGTAATATTTTTTAAAGAATTCAAAGAATTTTTCAAAAATTTTGCTTTGGAGTTGGAGTTGGAGTCGGAGTTGTGCTCAAAAAAATTCAACAACTGGAGTCGGAGTCGTTATTTTTTTTTTACGACTTCACACCCCTGGTTATAACTTTATTCTCCAATAGATCCAGTTATTTACTTAAGATTTCTTTTTGTTTGTTTTTTTGTTGTTTTTTTTGCCAAAAATTTTTGAGATAGATACAAGGTTCCAACAACAGAATGTGGTTTTAATGAAAAGAGAGAGACTTTCTTTGCTGGAATACAGTAATAAGTTTTTCTTTAGCTTTACTTAAGACAGTTGCTGCATGCATATGAAAACTAAAAGACTGAAAAGATTTTTGTTATGATTGATATTCAGCTACAAAGTTGTTAATTTATCCTTTAATTTTATTGTGACAGTTTTTAAAAAACTCTAAATACTCTCTGCAAATTTTACACCAAAGTAAATTATCCTTAATCAATTGTTTGAGAACCATAGGATTAACCCTTCATTTCTTAATTTTGCATTTCTTATTTTTAAAATTATATAAAAAATTTGTTTTAAATTTTAAAAAGTTTAAAATGTTTCCTAATTAATAAGTTTTAAAAAAATAATTTTCTTTTCAATATGTGTTTATTATAACTTACTAAGACTAAACTTAAAATTTCTAATCTTAAATAATATTGAAATAGTTAGTTATGGAAATACTGGAAATAAAGTAAAGTGTTGATAGGCTAAGTATAGAAATACTGGAAATGAAGTAAAGTGTTGGCCTTCGAGGATGACTTTAATAAAGCGGCTAGGGCTATTGCTCTCATGTCAAGAGCAATAGCCCTAGCCTCTCCACCTCCATCTTATGCGAGATAAAATCTTTCAGTTAAAGTAGTTAACAAGTCAGGCAAAAAACGAAAGGATTAAAAACCGTAATGATTGTCTGACAGTAAGTTTTTCAAGATGGGATGTGAGAAATTTGTTGATCAACGACTCAAAGACCTTACTAAGGTGAGAAAGAAAACTGTTCTCCGGAGTTTTAGAAAGTTGGAACAACAAATGTCATTTTTTACCAGGCAGGAAAACAAGACTCAGTCAAGCATTTATTAAATAGTTTAGAGAGAGTTGAAGAGGGTTCTGTAAAACAATTTTGTAAAACTATGACAGGAATTTTGTCTGGACCACACGCCGTAGAAGAGTTAAATGAGATATGACTTTAGCAACGGAAGAGTGATTTGAATGTCTAACATTGGGTTAACCTGTTTTATTGGAATAAAATGAAGAGAATGGCCATAAGATTCAAGAATTGAATTTAAAGAAAATTCCTTTGCAAATAGTTCTGCCTTTTCCTTGGGAGAGGTATTAAGGTCAGTCCCATGAATGAGAGTTGAAATGTTAGACCTACTTTTGTTAATGAGTAATTTCTGTTGTAAACACCTGTTAATGAGTAAATTCTGTTGTAAATCTTCTGTTGAAGATTTTCCAAAAGTCTCTAGAGCCTACCTTCTGAGATGTGAGATTGCTTTCTATGTGATTATGTACTTCGTGAGAGAAGCAATGGTCTGTGATGAACAGTTTCTTACTATGTGAGAAACTATTGCTTGCTTTGTGATTGTGTACGACATGAGAAAAACAATTGCTTGCCATATGATTGTGTACAACATGAGAGAAACAATGGTTTGTAATGAACAATTACTTACCATGTGATTGTGTACAACATGAGAGAAACTATTGCTTGCTATGTGAATGTGTACAACATGAGAGAAACAATTACTTACCATTTGATTGTGTACGACATGAGAAAAACTATTGTTTGCCATGTGATTGTGTACAACATGGAAGAAACTGTTGCTTGTCATGTAATTGTGTGCGACATTGAAGAAACTATTGCTTGCTATGCGATCGTGTACGACATGGAAGAAGCTATTGCTTGCCATTTGATTGTAATTTAATTAAAAATAGTTTTAGTACATAATGAAAAATAAATTGCATAATCTGAACATTTAATCTGATGTTTATAAGTTAAAAATAAAAATTTCTATAGTATCTTTTCATGAAATTTAAACTTTTTTTTGTATACTTTGAAAGATCCACCATTATTTACTGTTTTATTTTATGAATTTTTTTAATTATTAAAGGGCTTTGTTCAAGTAAAATCTCTCTATGGAAGCGGACAAGTTAAACAAATAATGTTATCCTCTGATTGCACTCATTTGTTCTTGTGTTTTAATGACGGCTGCTTGTGGCAGTGGAAAATAAAAAGTTTTTAACTTATATTTTTAAACCAATTTTCACATAACTTGGTGCGTTTTATTTGTATTCTTACATTAAATATTTAATTTTTATTATCTAGCATAGTTTAAATGAAAAAAAAATTACTATTTTGAAATAACTTATTTTTTTTAAAAAAAAAAAGATCTATTTTATAATGTAAATATTTTTAATTAGAGATAATTTATAATTTATTTTCTATTTTAAACAATTTATTGTGTATACATAGAGTATTGGGAATTTATTAATGTTTTATGATTACAACGACGATTTTTTTTATGAAGTTTATTCAATTTACTATTTCGATATCTTTAGACAATTAGTGACTTAGGTGTCTTTACTTTTTATGGGAGCCGGGTTTGATAAAATTGGTGGTGAAAAAAAAGGGGGGCGTTCTCATAATAAAAAGTTGGAAGTTTAAAAAGTCGAATAAAATAAAATAATATTTCAAATTTTCACTCTATTGGGACAAAATAAATCATATTTTAGCTTTCTGCTAATTTGGCTATCCTAAAAAAATGCTTTAAGGCACGAATCTTATACCAAAAAATAATAAAAAAGTGTTACCTAAGTTTTAAATTAATAAATTTAGTCTTTTACTTTGCATCTTCTTTTTTTAAATCTCTATTTCACACTTTAGTCACTTTAACTAGTTTATACTGCATATATATATATATATATATATATATATATATATATATATATATATATATATATATATATATATATATATATATATATATATATATATATATATATATATATGTATATATATATATATATATATATATATATATATATATATATATATATATATATATATATATATATATTCTAAAGATTATGGCATTTAAATCTCTCTGCAACACTTGTCATAAAAATATGACTGACTATCAAAGAGCCATCCAATGTGATCTTTGTAACTCATGGGTCCATGCAAAGTGTAACCATATCAATGCACAATCTTATAACCTTCTTTTAAATGACTCGTTAGATTTGTATTGTCATAGCTGTTTATCTAAGAGTATGGCCTTTAGCTCGATTTTCAACTCGGAGCTTAAGTCAACATTATTATGCAAAAATATATCTACTAGTTCATTAAATTCTTTTAAGACTCTAAGTAATCATAAAAATATCTTTAAAGATCTAAATAAATTTCCTAGTTCTGTTAATTGCAAATACTGTTCGTTATTGATCTCAATAAAACTATGCTTCCCAATTCAGAACTATATATTCATCTTAACATCGCTTCTCTACCATTCTACATTGACGAACTCTGTAGTCTTATCAGCTCTCTTAATAATTTTCCCTTAGCAATAGGTATTACAAAATCTAATTTATATATAAACGATACAAATATAACTGATATATACATAAACGGGTTTAATATTGAGCATTGTCCTACTGAGGCTAAAAAAGGTGGAGCACTTTTATACTTGCGCTCAAATTTAAACTACGTCGTTCGCAATGATCTTATAATTTACTCTTCTAAACATTTAGAGTTTATTTTGAAATTTTAAAACCTTGTGAATCAAATAAAATAATTGGTTGCATTTATCGTCATCCCTCAATGAATCAACATGAATTTACTTAAAAACTTCTTTACTTAAAAAGTTAAGTAACGAAGAATTTTTTTTTTCTATTTTGGGTGATTTTAATATGGATTTATTTAGTCACAATGAATCTAACCCTTCTTCTACATATCTAGATTCTTTAACATCTTACTTACTAAGCCCTTCTATAATTTTACCATCACGCATAACGGCTACATCAAAAACGCTCATTAATAACATATTCATGAACTTTCATTCAACTGGTCAATTCTCAGGTAACCTTACAATTTCAATTTCAGACCACAAGGGACAATTTATTTCCATTCCTGGCGTACCCCACCACCCCAAAAAGTAAAAACTTACAAACGATGCTTCAAAAAATTTAATAAAAGTATATTTATTGAAGAAATTTCTGATATCAACTGGGAACTCTTCATTAAAAAAGATGATGATGTTAATAAATCCATGAATTTTATTTTAAAAACATTTGATGAAATCTTAGACTGACATGCTCGTTTTAAAATACTAACCAACCAACAAATTAAACTAAAATCAAAACCTTGGATTACGTATGCAATACTTAAACCTTGGATTACGTATGCACTTTTCACATATGAAGCAACAAAAAAAGTTTACAGTGGCGTTTAAAAAACGTCATCTAGAAAAAAAATCTGGAAAATAAAGCTTAAAAATGTCTAAACAAATTTTTTTTTTTTATAATTCTCTTTGTATATTGAGTTTCACTCTTAACTTATTTTTTCAAAATTAGTCGATCTTCAAAAATTCAAAAAAATTTTTAGGGGTAACTACCCTCAAATTTTCAAATTGCAACTATAAACTAACTTTCTCTTGATTCGCAGTAAATTTTTATTAACATTAAAAATACAAATATATGATATCTCGATGCTATGGTAACTTAAAAAAAGCTAAAGATGCCGAAAAAAGATTTATGCTGAAAAAAAGTTAAAAAGAATGAGTGAAGAAGTGATAATGATTTCAAATCAGGTTATCCTGCTACTGGTAATATGTAACCCAGTATATCCTGCTTCATATCCTGCTGTCTTGTAGTATACCCTTTTTTAGGCAAAGGCTAGAAGAAGCCAACTCCAACCAAAAACCCCCCTACCTCGGGACTCTTGGTTGAGTAAAGGAAAGAGACTGTGTCTTAATAAATTTACTCATTATGGGCAGATGTTAAATGCATCCGGCTACCTTCTTGTAGAAGGTCTTCTAGGAAAGGCTTAAGTGGTAAACAGATTCTATCTGTTGACCGGCCTCACACTTCTTCTTTATCTATTAGGCTGGCGCAAATGTATTTATAATACATTGTTTCCAACTTAGGATGTCAAATGCTTAATCTCCTTGACTCAATGCATGAGTTTTGCTTGTGTCTCTGTTTTTATGACTAGACAACTCATTCTATTATCTTCTAATGAGGGTACAGCTCTAAAACTCAGTTTTATGGTTCTGAGGCTGTATGGTAGTCAGATTTCCCGAACTCTGTGGTATATCTCTGCGAGACTGATTCCATCAACAGCTGTAAACTGTCAGAGTACGAACAGTGCCATGTTGCGCATGGATAGTGTCCCAGTTCGTACTTTGGGTGTGCATTGTCGAGGCCACATTTAGAGTCCTTTGTTACGGCTTAGAGTTTAATAATAGTAATGAGGCAATTGCTTGGACTATTAAATAGTGTACCGAGCACTATATCTGTGCTTTGAGTCACGTTCTTTAACAAATTTAAAAATGACTAAAGTATGAAAAACTATAAAACTCCAAAAACCATCGTCAACACCAAGTTCTCTGAATCTATCATTTACTAATATTTAGGAAGTAACATTTCTTCTGTTAAAATCTCTTTCAAAGTTCACCAGACCTACTTGCTCTTTGCAAGACTAATTTGAGTTTGGCTGTCTCATCGTGCGATCTTAATGTTGATAGCTTTCCTCCTTTAATTCGTAAAGACTCCATTAGTCACATGCTTGGTCTAGGCACTTACATTCGTAGGAATTCACCTGTTTGTTTGGAAACTAGGTTTGAATCCACAGACTATTCTTTAATGTGCTTTCGTTTAACACCACTTCACTCTATCATCTTTCTCTTTGTTTTATATCGCTCTCCTTTATTTCAAGACTGCATACTTTTTAATGTTATTTCGGATTAAATTGACCAAGCCCTCTCTCTTTATCTTTCAGCTAATATTGTTGTTGTTGGTGACTTTAATGCTAATCATACTAAATAGCTAGGTTTTAATGTCAGTGACTCTGCAGACGTTAAGGCCCTCAACTTTTGCCTTTCTCAATCTCTAACTCAAATAGTCACTTTTCGACTTGCTTTCCTGACAATCCAAATCATTTACCTTCTCTACTCGGCTTATGTCTTGTTTCTGATCCTGGTCAGTACTCAGTTTCTCCACATTTACCCTTGGTACTTCTGAATATGGTTTGATCTATTATCTGATTCTTCTTCATCATCAGAATCCCTCTATCATCGTACTTTTTTTTTTTTTTTTTTTTTTTTTTAACATCTTCACTTCCAACAAGGCTGCAAGCAACCACTATAAGAGTTGGAAGTTACTAGAAGAGAAAAGGCTAAGTCTGTAGAGCAAGATAACGATTGACTGATGACTTAAAAGATTGCAAATTATATGAATCAGGAAAGCAAGATGAAGGAAGCGAATTCCAAAGAACTGATGTTCGAGGAAAAAAACTAGACGAATAAGAGTTTTTGAAGCACTTAGGAACAGTCACAGAAAAAGGATGAGACTTAATTGAATGGCGAGTAACACGAGAATGAATTTTAGTAGATGGCACAAGGGACGCTAGCTCTTTAGAGCAGTGCCCATTATAGTATTTGTAGAAAAGAGAAAGAGAAGCAACATTACGACGATGTGACAAAGGTTGGAGATTGGCTGCCAGAGCAGGTCCAACTATGTTTACAATTCGTTTTTGCACCTTGTCTAAAAGAGAAAGAGCATCATTAGAAGATCCGCCCCAGATGTGGCAACAGTATTCCATACAGGGACGGATTTGAGATTTATAGAGATAGAGAATAGAATCTGGAGTAAGAAAGTGTCGAGCTCGATAAAGAGATGCAACCTTAGCAGATGCTAATTTTGCAATGGATTTGATATACGGTTTAAAAGAAAGATCAGAAGTAAGAGTTAATCCTAAAAGATGAATGGTAGATGACTCATCTAGTACATTACCATTCATAAATATAGGAAGATCTAAATTATTACGATAACGATTGGCCGAATAAAATTGAGTTTTATCTGAATTAAAGTTTACCAGCCACTGTGAGCCCCATGCTGTAGCAGAAGTGAGATCCTTTTCAAGCTCAGATACCCCCTCCAAGCAATCAGAGAGTGTAGGCTTCTTATCATGACAAGAGTAAATGGTAGTGTCGTCAGCGAATAATGCCACCTTAGATGTGAGAATATCTGGAAGATCGTTAATGTAAATTAAAAAGAGTATAGGGCCAAGGATTGAACCTTGAGGAACCCCTGAAGTTACAGGATGTGAAGAAGAGTGTTGTCCATCGAGGACAACTTTTATACTACGATTGGAAAGAAAGGACTCAATAATCTTAAAAACGTTACCAGCTACACCATAAGAAGAAAGCTTATGGAGAAGACCAGCATGCCAAACTTTATCAAAAGCTTTAGAAATGTCAAGTGCGATAGCCTTAACCTCTCCACCTCTATCT